AAAAAAAAAAAAGTCTACAGCCTCAAGAACAAAGCTCACTCCTATTGAGTCAAAACTGACTCACAGCAACCCTATAGGACAGGATTGAACTGCCCCGGGAGTTTCCGAGACTGTAAGGCTTTAGAGGCTAGAACGTTCTGAGAAGTGGCTGGTGGTTTTAAACTGCTGACTTTGCAGTTAGCACCTCAACTCATGATTATAGTCTCTTCTACAAAGAAAAAAAATATCGTGCTGTATACAATGTATTTTATTTTTGTTTTAAAGAGAATTTTTCCATTTAGAGTCCACTATGGTTTTCCATTATCAAAAGATATGTTTCTTACACAGTATGTAATTCAGTATACCATGTATGTAAATAGTATAATATGCCCATAAGCATATAAAATTGACACTTAAATAAGAAATTCTATAAAAATAAAATGAAAATCAAATTGTTAGATGTACTCACATGAAGACTATTTGATTAAAATGTAGAATATGATGCTTCAACCTTGTTTAAAACTCTCCCAGGAAATGATTTAACTAACAGATGCTTATCGTCTGGGACGGTGTTTGAAACACAGTAACAGTAAAGTAGGATAATAACTTGTTTTCTTTACCACGGGAAAAGCTACACATGACCGCAGCTGCCATCTTCTGAGGACATGCCTGGCCCTGCCAGACATCTTTCCCACACAGCAGGATGTTTTCCTCATCTCCTCGGCAATGAACGTTGCTCCAGTGCACAGGAAGGAGGCCCAGGGCAGACAACGGTGTTGTTTTTGCTACTCCTTGTCTTCTGGAAGTAGAATGAGCAGTGTCAGATTTAACAACTGCAGGTGAAACTTTTTAACCAAGCATTTAAATTTTTTAAAAAAATAACCACTTTATTGGCATATAATACACATATCCCACAATTCAATAGTTCCACCACATTAAGGAGATGTACAATCACTATCACAAGTAATTTTAGAACACTTTCTTCGTCTTGTGCCCATTATTAGCTCCCCATTTCCCCCCAACATCCCCTGTCATGCCCCCAAGAAACAAACCATCAATCCAGTTACAGCCTCTATAGATTTACCTATCCTGGATTTCATATACAGAAAATCCTACAACTAGCAACAGTAACAAAGTAAAACAGTGAAAAAAATCTGTCAATAAAAAGCAGAAAATATTAAAAACTAGACCAAATTAAAATGGGTCAGAAGGGAGATCACATGCCAAGGTGTTAACTTCACTAAGATAGAGAAAACCAACCAAGATGAACATGGAAAGAAAGAAAAGCATACTAGATTGTGCACATTTCAAGGGAAACAAAATGCTTGATCAGAACTTGGATTGATTATGGAATCTGAAGAAGGTTTTTCACAATCTTGATTAACTATTGATATGTATGTGCTTTACTTACTCCATATGGATGTCTTTGTGGGTTGTACATGGGGCTGTGAACCCCAAGATCAGCAGTTCAAAACCACTAGCCACTGGTCCTTGGGAAAAAGATGAGGCTTTCTACTCCCGTAAAGATTTACAGCCTAAGAAGTCGGAAGCAGCAATTGTACTTTGTCCTATAGAGTTGCTATGAGTCAGAAGCGAGTGAATTAAGAGCTTTTATGACTATAACAGCAGTGAGTTAGAGTTCTGATAGATATACAAATGAAGTTTAGGGGACCACATCAAGCCCAGTAAGGATTGGATTCTGATCTGGACCAGCTGCAAATTACTCTCTAAGGCTCTGATTCTACTATAGAAAAGGAGAAAGCTGGAGGGCTGAATATTCTAACTCCAGTTTTCAGGGCTAAGGTTTCTAAAATGATTATTATTACTCCATCTAAGCAAAGGGATATCAAGGGAGCAATCCACTTATAGTCTGAAGATCTCATCTCTTCATTCCATTTTTCCAGGAACTTTTGGAGCCCCTTCCTTAATCATTTGCTAGTAAAAGTTTACAACTGATGATTACAATAATAACTTACAGATGGGCTCCATTCTTAGCCCATCCAATCCACATATTTTCAAAAATAACTTCTGGTATGTATGAGCTGATATGAAATTTATTGTTTTTAAATTAAACTAAATGTTTATCTGATCAGCATAGCAACCTCTAGAATTTTCTCCATGTAACAGCATCTATCAAACAAATCGTAAATATTTGCAGTATGTCTCAAAGATGAATGTGTTGCCACAGCAATGAAGCTGGCTTCCTCTGTTGTTGTGGTGCAACCTTTAAAATACACTAATAGACAATATATGTACTCAGATAGACTTACCTTACATTGGTGTTTGCTACAGGACAGTTTACAACCTTTCTTCAACAGCAAGCCTCGTAACCACACTATCATTTACATCTCCACTATATTATCCTTGCTTTTTCATTCGTGAGACTCACAGGAAATTATTTTGCTAGCCAGATTTTCAGAAGTAATAAAAGCATATGCAGATAGGTGGATAAGGAGAAGCCAGTCCACACACTGGTTACAGCTGCCGGTCCTCAACAAATGCAGAGGCTGGACTCTCTTTATCATTTATTACATCGCTCAGTTCTCAAAAGGAGTCCCTGTAGCGCTTTTGGCGAAGTACTGACCGGTCACTGCAAGGTGTGGCCACCAGGGCTCCTAGTGCTCTCGACGTGGATTTCTAATATAAAGATATTGCTCATGCTTTATATAGGTCTCTGATAATAATTATCAAGGAAAAATTCATAAGACACAAAAACAGAACACTAAGAACCACAATGGAAACAAACAACAAAACAGAGAGAGGTGCTTCGGGTGCAGCACCGGGCACAGGCATAAATGTGCTGGGGTTGGAGCGCTCCCTGTGCACAGCCCATTTCAAAGGACAGGTCTACGGTTGGGGGGGATCAGGTCCCTGAGCAGAGGACCACAGCCTCTCAGGGTGGCAGCACACTGGTGGGTTGATCAAAGCACCAGAGGGCCAGGACAGCAAGCCTGAACTCTGTACAGGATAAGAACACAGGTGAGCATCCCTTCCTTCACACACCGAGAAAAAAGAACTTGTGGATGGCTAAAAGTAGAAAGCTAAAAATAATAAACCACTTGAATAGATATTTCCCCAAAGGGGATATTCAAATGGCTACCAAACACATAAAAAGAAGTTCAGCATCATTAGCCATGAGAGATTTACAAATCAAACTCAACAGAGAGATACCACCTCAGTCCTAGTAGATTGGCTAAAATAAAATAAAATAAAATCATTTTTTAAAGAACCTTGAAAGCTGCGAGCGCACTGCTTGGATAGATACTGGTAAATCCTCTACCTGGCCACACAATCCACCTTCCTATCTGCCACCACCACCACCGGCCCTTGCACCCCAGACTTATGACCCTTAGTCACCCTTCAGGCCTGGAACTAAACTCACACCCTGTGGTTCAATTTTCAGCAAGGTCTATAAAGTAAAGAAAAACACCAGGGAGGGCTGTTCTTAGAGCAGTCAACCATTTGAGATCAAAAGGCAGCACTAGCCTAAGGACAAAGTTCATGAGGCAGCAAGGGTTAAGAAAAGAGGGGGAAGGGCGAGGGGAGACCCAGGGAGGGTGCTGAAGCAGTGAGGTTCCCTTGTGGGATTGCAATCAAAGACATGCACTAAAATGTGCATGACATTACTGCATGCAAAAAGAATTGCTCTGTCAATCTTCACCAGAGTCACAGTGAAACGTTTTAACTGGTTAGTCAAATTGATAAAAGAGCACCAGTTGAGTTTCTGTTTCTGTCAAGGTGAATCTGGTAATGAATATTGGTGATGGTGATACACCAAGAGGGAAGTGGTTGGTGTTCCTGAACTGTACACATGGGAAAATGTTGAAT